GCTCTGGGGACAGTTTTCAGGCAGTTTAAATGAGCTCAGCTCTGTTTTCTCTCCCAGCCCTGCAGAGTGTTCTCCACCAGCTGAGACCTGGTTTCCTGGCCACGCAAACAGCTCCTTAAATGCAGCTCCTGGAACCAGGGAAAGGTTTGTGTTGGAAGGCACCTTAAAGGTCATCCAGTTCCAACCCCCTGCAGTGGCATCACCACCCCTGGAAGTGTTCAAAACCCACGTGGATGTGGCACCTGGGACATGGGGCAGTGGTGAACACTCTGCTGGGTTAATGGTTGGGCTTGAGGACCTCGAAGGGTTTCTCCAACCTCAGTAATTCCGTGATCCCAGCTCAGACATCCCCATGTTCTGCCTCAGGAAAGGACTAGGAAAGGCTGGCAGGGATTTTGGGAGACAACAGGAACCCCTTTCCCACTCTGGGTTCTGAGCACTTGGGTTTTCTGCCCCCCCATGAACCACTCCCATCTCTCCACCCTCAGGAAAACAAGCCCTCAGAAAAAAAAAAAAAAGCAAATGGTGAAGAGGAGAATTCCCTAAAGAGAGAGCAGGACAAAATCATTTCCAGTCTCCTCCTCCCAGCTGGAGCTCCAAGTGTGTTCATGTCTCCAGCCCATCAACCAGAGGACACTTGGACCAGAAAGCACCACCATGAGCCCTGAAAAATCTGCTCTCCCAGAGCTCTGCAGCTGAGCCCCAGCTCGAGGAGGGCAAAAAGCAGCAGAAAAAAAAGAGAAATAAACAGTGAAACCAGTGAAAAAACAAACTGTGAAACCAGTGAAGAAACAAACAGTGAAACCAGTGAAAAAACAAACTGTGAAACAAGTGAAGAAACAGTGAAACCAGTGAAAAAACAAACACATGAGCCTCGTTGACACCAAACAAGCTGCAAACACAAACTTCCTTTGCTTAAAAAAACCCCAACAACCAGTACAGCAAAGGCCCGAAGTGCAGAGAGGCTCTGACAAAGCACAAGTGCTTCAAAAGTGGGATTTAAGATCCCAACTTGAAAAGCCACAAAAGGCCAGAGGATGATTTTTATGGAAATGCTGCTCTCCAAACAATACTGGGTTTCTCTCTTGGCCTTTGGCTTTAAATATTGATCAAAATTGCTTCTCATGGAGGAAATAAAAACACTTTATCCTGTATCAGCCTGGAATAGAGGTCATGGAGTAACAATAAAAAGGTTTTCCCCCACCAAACATCAAAAAACCCCCAAAGGAATTACCTGAATAACCAGCAACCAACAGAGATCCAATTTCTCATCAATACTATTCCTATAAATACATATTGATCCCTTCCCCTCTGGTTATTTATTAGGGGAATAGTGAGTTCCAGAAGCTCTGCAGGAAATTGGCTGCACTGCAGGAACTTTGGGACACCTAATCCATGGAATTCCAGCCTCACCTGACCATTCCATGGGGTTGCTGAGGGAGATCAGCTGTGGAATCTGTGAGAGTTTAATACTTTCTTTACATAACTATAAGCCAAGACACAAAGCAATGAAGATCTGAGCTTGTCTCACTGCTCAGTTCTATTTTCACAGGATCAGCAGCTCCCTGATTTTCCAAGGAACCTCAACAGATTTCCCCCCCTTTGGAATCTGCTCTTGCCAAAGCACGTGGTGTTAAACTCCAGATATCACAGGGCATTAATGCCTTTGCAGGGCTCGTTTTGCTCTGCTTTTTTTCACCACAGTCACCAATTCCCAAGAGTTTTTAAATTACCCTTGAGGTTTCCTGGTGGACTGAGCGCTTCCCTGACATTCTGCTGCTCCCTTGAAACCTTCTCCCAGAGAAGAGGCTTGGAAAGGGTCTCTGTTTGAGTCCATCATTGGCCTCGGGGCTGATTTATAACCTGTGGCTATTTATAACAGGGGTTTTATATGACAAACTAATAATTTTTTCTGGATGGTTCCTAGCCTGCCATTCCAGGGCAGTTTACACGAGCTGGGCTCTCTCCCATGGAGTGAGGGAAGGCAGGGAATCTGCTGCTAATCCAACATAAATACCCCTGGAGTCAGTCTGGAGTGTGGCACTGAAATCATTTGCAAAACATGAAACCTGAACAGAGCTTAAAAACCTCATAACCTGGCAGCTCCCAGCCAGGGAAAATATCCCCCTGAGTGCCTGGGATTGGGATCCCAGTGCTGGGATTTGGATTTGTCCAAGGCCTGGGCTGTGGAGGCAGCTCTGCTGTGCTCCTGAGTCACACAGAGCCCGTCCAAGGGTGAGGGAAATAAAGAATTCACTGCAGATTCCACGTGGGAAGGGCTGATCCAGCCAGAAAAACATGGGAGCAGGGAAGAGCAGCAGGAGCAGGAACAATCCAGGGATCTTGGGACAACAGAGCTCCCAGGGCAAAAATGAGAGTGGCCATTTGAGCATAAACACACTTGGAAGGTGACTCTGAATCCTGACAATCAATCCAGGAGTTAAGCCCTGTCCTGGACCAAACACCTGCACTCTGGGTTGAATCACTGGGATTTTGGGCCGGATTTTCCACCAGTCTCAGTGGATTCTCCACCAGGTTCATAAACCACAGCTTTCAGCACATTTTTTGAGGGCATCCAGCACAGACAGAGCTAAAAAACCTGCTGGTGGCACTGCCTGGACCTCGGAGACAAGGGCAGAACATCTTCCAGGAGCCCCAGGAGATGAATCCACCACCTCACCAAACCACCCTTAGCTTGAAGCTGGAAACTCAGAGCTGGGCTCTGTTTAGAATGAGGAATTAAGAGTGAAGATAATCACTTTTACAGACTTTCACCCTCACAAACCCACTCTGATCTGCATCAGTCTGGGCTCAGTGTGAGCTGGATGTGCAGCCAAAGGCCTGGTGGGGATTGATGCAAAGACTGAAGCTGCAAAGATTGATGCAGAGGAAGAGGAGGGAGCAAGGACAGGGTGAAGACAGTGAAGTTTTAGTAATTAGTAACCAATTAATCTCACAATAAACTTTCTGAAGGTGTTCTTGATTTAATATTTAGGACCTGGGCAGAGTTCTGACTCAATTTATTAATCTTTGAAGGTGATTTTCTGCCAAACCTTTCTGCGAAGAACTCGAGGGTAAGAAAACAATTTCTCCCAGTAAGAAATGTGCTTTTCCTCACCTCCAGTTCCCCCCAAACCTTGAATTTATTAGAAATTTTAAAGGAAAAAAAAAGCTGCAGCAGCTGTTTGTGAGCCCAACAGTGAGGTGTCCCCATCACATCCCCCTCAGCTCTTAGGGGGAGCATTTTAACACCCAGGAATATGGAGAGCTTGTCTTAAACACCCAGGAAAAACCCCAACCACTTGATCTGTGGCTTTTTTTAGCCTTCTCCCCTTGCACTCCACAACCAGCCACTGGGTGGGATTAACACACTTGGCCACTGCAGCACAGGCTCAAGCACGTGGGGTTTATTTTGCTATAAACAACTCCTTCATCCCGAAGACTCCCGAGTTCTTAAACCCTCTTGGCCCGTAAAGTTTATGACAACAGAAGAGCTCTGAAGCTTTGCTTTGCACACCATTAATCTCCCCCCTCTCCAAACAGCTCAGGAGCCTCACAGAGGGTTTGTCTGAGCTCCAGCCCAGCCTCGTGTCCATATTAGTCAGGAGTTTTGTGCATCCACAGCAAGAGCATCTCAAGGGTTTCTTGGCTGCTTCCAACCCATTCCACTGCTGGATGGGCAAGATCATCCAGAGCTAAAGGACTCTTCTAAAAAAAAAAATCACATTAAAACAAGCTTTCTTTTCCAGCAGATCCTTCCACAGCTCCTCAAACACAACATCTCTGCCTCCCTCCAACCTGACCACCTGTGCCACCTGGAGCTTCCAGAAATGTCATATATTGAGCAGCCTGAGCAGCCCCAGCAAGGGATGACACTTCCCACCCCTTCTGCTGCCCCAGTAATCTTGGTTTTCGTTGCACAGATTTACTGTAGGTGAGCAAAACCTGCAGCAGCAGAGAGGGGATCTCTCCCATTCCCTGCAAACATCCTGGACTTGTTTTGGGGCCTTGTTTCCACCTATTTCTGACACTGTTCCACAATTCCCTCAGCTCAGCTGAATCACTGAAAGCCCAGGAGTCTGTTGGAAGGGAAAAGCTGCATTAAATAAGTGTGTGTGTGGGTCCTTCTTTGGGATTAAGAACATCCCAGGATGTTGCCACCCCTTGGGTCACACCTTGACCCACGAAATGTCACCACCCTTTCACTGTATCAAGCTGAGTTTGTCTGCAAAGCTCCTGGGGGGGGGGGGGGGGGGGGCCTCAATCTGACATTTGCACCAGATTTGTCTGGAAAACATTCCCTGGATGGTCTTTGCCAGCACTTCCAGGCTCCAGGCACAGCTCAGACCTCTGACCCTGGAAACCTGGAGAGAGTGAGCCTTGCCCTGGGCTGTCTTTCATTCCAAGAGGTGTTGCACCTGATCCAAGGTTTCCAGCCTCACTCCAAAGCTTTGCCAGGCTTTGGATAACCAGTTTGATGCCCCCTGGGAGCTGCTGGTTTTGTGGTGCAGCCCAAAGCACGGGTGTCTCTTACTAAAACATAAGAACACGGGGAGGGAGCTCAAAGTGGTGCCCTGGGTTTTTTACCTCTTCCTAACAGCCCCAAAGCACTGGCAGGGAGTTATTCAGCTTCAGTAACATCAGGGAAATACTCTGATATCAAGAATTAAAGAGTTCAGGTTGGATTCCCCTCCAATTTAACATTCAACACACTCCTTGTTGATATATCCAGTTCCCACGAGAGAGACAACTTAAAATCACATGGAAAAGGCAGTTTTTCCAGCAAACCCTTGTCTCCTTCCTCCACAACACACAGAATAAAGTCACTGTGTCATTCTCCCCTCTCAATCCTTCATTTACAAAGTCGAGCACCCCCCAATGGACCCCAAAAGTTCATGCTGATTACAAGTGCTACTGTGAAATAAAGGTACAACACGACAAAGCCCCGAATCTCAGGCGAGCACCTGGTGAAGCACAAATTAAATATCAAAGAGTCCGTGTCAGAGGGACAAAAGCACGTTTTGGGTGACAAATGACCCGGTGTGGACCTGGAGAAGCAGCAGCCTCTGAAAGCAAAGCCGAGGAGGGGCTGTGAAGGGAAAAAGGGCTCTTGGCTTGTTTGAAAGGATGCCACAGTCCCAGGGAGCAGTTTTCGAGGTCAGAGCAGGGTTTTCCTCAGTCCAATCTACGCTGCAGGGATGTGGGTCCCATCCTTCCCTTCCCAGGGATGTGGTTCCCATCCTTCCCTTCCCTGCTATGCTCCCATCAACATTCCCATGAAGTCAGATCCGTTCTGGATGGTGACGGGAGCTCCGGCGCTGTTGTCCACGAAGATGGAGGTGTATTGTCCAGCCTGCAGGAGAAAGGGAAACATCTGACACATTCCAGCATAAAAGAGGGGGGAAAAAACCCCATTTCACCTCCCTCAGCTAAGCCCAGCAGCCTCCTGCCCTTCCCTGGGGGAACAGGATCTGCTCCAACATCAGCCTTGACTGGGAGGGAAGAGATTTTCTGCAGGGAAACTCTTATAGGTTTATTTTAACTCAACCCTTTCTGCACTGGCATCTTTTGGGGTGACCTGTGCTTCAGCTTCCCTTCTGTGAGATGAGAAATCCAGTTGTCACTTTGGCAATGCCAGGGGAGAGTGGAGAAGGAAAAATATTGGCTCTCATTTCTTAGAGGGAAGGTTATTATGTGAAATGTGGATCTGCCCCAGGTTCTCTCCAGTCCCCCCCAGCTGAGGCATTTCAGTTCATTCACAGCAGGAAAAGGGGCATAAAACTGCTGAGTTTTCCCCCTCTGCTGCTGAGAATTCAGCCTGGCCAGGAAATAATTCCAAAGCCTTCCAAGAGAAGCAGGGCAGTGATTCCCAGGGTGCAAGGACTCACCTGCAGCTGCAGTAACCCATGGACGTAGATAGTGAAGATCTTGCTGTTGCTTTCCAGCCCAGCAATGACTTCCAAAGACCTAAAAAGAGAAATAAACAGGTTAAAACCCCTTAGGCAACCACAGCAGTTGTATTTGGAATGAAAACTGGCTCACAACCTCCCTGGAAATGAGACCAAGGGTATTCAAGAGGTGATCTGCTGACATTTGGAAGTGTCCAAGGCCAGGTTGGAGCAATTTGGGATAGTGGAAGGTGTCCCTGCCCATGGCAGGGGGGTGGAACAAGATGAGTTTTAAGGTCCCTTCCAACCCAAACCATTCCATGATTCCATAATTCCAGCAGGAATCAGCTGCCTTAAAAATAAAACAGGAGAACCTTGTCCTCGCTGTCTGATGGAAACCCTACAGGGGACTCACACAGGGCTGGAAATTCAACACCCAGCTGGGGGCAGGATTGGGAGCCCCCTTTTCTCTCACCTTCTCAAGGTCCTGTAGTCTCTACCCCCACCCTAAATGCCCTTTGGATTGATCCACACACCAATTATCCTGGTTTTTTGACCCCCACAACAGTTTATACTGGTTGTTCTGCAAAGAGCTACAGGCACTCTGCCAACAACAGCTCGTTTATTTGCAGGGTGTGAAAGGCCTGTTTCACCTTAACGACACAGGCAGGCAGCCTGGGTGAGAAAAACATCCCCTGCAGCTGTTTTGGGAGGACATTTGGATCAGGGGGCACATGGAAGCAAAAAATCCCAATCCTTGAATAGTTGTGCTTCAGCTCCAGCTGGAGCAGAGCTCCACATCACCCCCTCAGGCACTGCTCTTTTCTAACAACGTGCTCTAAGAGCCATCCTGTTCCTTGGGAGATGCAGGACAGCTGCTCCTCTGTTCACAGAATTCCAACCTGGCTCCCCTGGGCAGGATCCAGGGTGGGAGGAGGTTCCTGAGACACCAGCAGGGCCCGTGTGAGCTCAGCCCCAAAGCACCATCCAGAACGGATCCGACTTCATGGCAATGTTGATGGGAGCATAGCAGGGAAGGGAAGGATGGGAACCACATCCCTGGGAAGGGAAGGATGGGAACCACATCCCTGCAGTGTAGATTGGACTGAGGAAAACCCTGCTCTGACCTCGAAAACTGCTCCCTGGGACCGTGGCATCCTTTCAAACAAGCCAAGAGCCCTTTCCCTTCACAGCCCCCCTCAGCTTTGCTTTCAGAGGCTGCTGCTTCTCCAGGTCCACACTGGTTCATTTGTCATCCAAATGCTTCTTCCCTGCCTCCCCAGGGCTGGCTGAGCTGGTTGTTTTCCCAAGAAAACCAACCCCTTTCCTCCCTTTTTTTTTCCATGGAGGGGGTTGCTGATGAAACCTTGCAAGTGCAAACGTGCTGCCTGCAAGGGGATGATGTGAAAGGCAACTGGGGGCAATTTGGCCCAGGGAGAAGAAGCCACTTGGCACCAGCTTGGCTGAGGAGCTCAGGCTGTGTGTCATATCCTGCCAAAAGCCCAACTGGGGTGGGGACTTCCCATCATTAATCTCTTCCACTCCAACTGTCTCCTTCGTCTCCCGAGTTTCCATCCTCAGCCCAAAGCCCTGGGGGCTCTCCCAGCTCCCTCCCGGAGTGAGTGTGTGTGCTGACATCCCAGGAAATGTGACTGTGTGTGCTGACATCCCAGGAAATGTGGCTGTGTGTGCTGACATCCCAGGAAATTCCACAGGCACGGTGTCCAGGCAGGTTCCCATCCCTCCAGCCAGCTCCTTCCATGCCATGGGCCAGTCCCATCCCACCCACCCCACGAGAAAAGGGAATTCTGCTGGTTCTGCTTCACTGCCCAACCAACCCAGAGCCTTGCAGGATCATAAATTGTGGCCCTGGACAGCTGAGGAAAACTCCAAGCCAGACATCAGAGGGTTTTATCTCAATGATTAACATCTGGGTCAGCTCTATCTAAGAAAAAGAAAGGTTTGCTGTCCCAGTTCTTTGGAGAAGGCAGCTATAAATTCTTAGATGGCAAGTTAATCTCCAAAGATCCCAATAAACCTGCCTGGGCTGGATGGGACAGAGAGGTTCCCACTTCCCAGCTAGAACCAGAACAGCTTTCTAGGAGCTTGCAGCTGAAAAGATCTGCAATGAAGAAGGCACAGGGAAGTTTCCTATTCAGATAATTCTTGTGCTTGCATTTCCCAGACTGAGGAAGCAAGACTAGAGTTGTGCTGGGACTAAAGTCTGACACCCAGTTTTTAGTAATAACCTAAAAGGACAGCAAAGGAGAGAAAGGTACAGAGAGCAAGGCTTGGAGACAGAAGTGAGTCCCCCAAAAGGAAATATTCCCTTACATCCCAACAGGGAACATCTCTCTATATTCCCAAAGCATGTAGAAAATGATTTTGTGGAACTTGCTCATAGGAAATCCAAGGTCTGGGAATCCAAGTTTATCCTGTTCTGGTTAAACTTGCTAAGAGAAGAGGAGGTTGTTGTAGGTGAAAAGGAAAAAGCACCAAAGTTGAAGAGAGAAAAAACTGATGAGTTGAGTCTGCCAGGCAGGGGGAAGGGCAGGAGTGGGATCTGCACCCTGCAAAGGCACTTTGGGAGAGCTACTCCTAAAAAATAAGATTCTACCCTACTCATACCTCACCAACCCCTGGGTTTAAAGGCCTGGGCTGTCCCAAAAATCACTCACTGTCAACACACATCCCAGATTTCAAGATCCAGCTGAGGGTCCACTCGTAGCACGACCTGAAGGAATTCTCACAAGCACCACCAGAAATTAAATGTCTCCCAAATTTTGCAGCTGACTGGGATATAAGGGGAAAAAAAAAAGATCCCTCCCTTCTTCTGCTGAGAGCAGCCAGTCTGACAGTGCCTCACCAAGGGCTGCAATCCTAAAAACTCTTCCAAAGAGTCTCCAAGGCCTGGGAGGTGCCAGTTCCTCCAGTTCCCTCCTTGACTTTCCCTCTTACCCCAGTCACTGAGGGGTGCTCAGTACCAACCAAATCTTTTCCACAGCCCAATGAAACCTGGGAGAGGTTTTATTATCCCAAATTTCACGTCCAATTCCCCTGTCAATAAATGCCTGTGGAGAGGCCAGTCCTATTTGCAGCTCCCTGACTCCCTGGAGGGCTGAACCAGCCAGTCCAGCAGCACATTGATGGCTTTGGGGGTTTGAAGTTGCACCTCTGGAGTGGTTTTATGGATAAATGGATATATTTCAGTGGTGCTGTTGCTGCTGGCAGAGCTGCAGGCAGGGCAGAACAGCCCTGGACAGGTATTTCTGCTCTGGTGACAAGGGCAGAGCCACAGGCTGGGGCCACTCTGTGCAAGCACCATTGCCCTCTGCTGGGGGCTTTTTGGCCCAGGACAGGGGCTCCCCGAGCCCCTCTGTCCCAGCAGAGCTTTCCCAAATCCCCCTGAGCTCACTGGCCTTCCCTGGCACTCAGGGAACCTCAGGGCTGCAGCTCAAAGGGTGACAGGAGCATGGAAAATGAGGAGCCAACACACGTTTCCATAGCCCCCAGGGCAGAAGGAGCAACACCCAAGGGTGCCATGGCCTAAAAAACTGTTTCTTGAGCAGAGTTTTGCCCCCAGCAGAGGAAAATTCAGCAGCATTATCTAAGGAAGCTCCCCAGGTCAGCTGAGGCCATGAGAAGGTGTCAAAAACCTCTGTACAAACCCTGCACTTTCTGCTTCGGGACCCATTCCCTTCTGTTTTCTACTTGTTCATTCTCCTCATCACTCTAACATCATGAGTGAGATGCTGGGATCCATGCAGGAGGAGGCTGAAATCCTAAAAATTGAGCTCTGGCCCCAAATTGAAGTGTTTCTGTGGCTCTGTGTGTTAATGATGGTAGCTGAGCACTCAGCACCTGGAGCTGAGTTCCAGCTGAGTTCACTCACAGTTCTCTCATTTTAGGCAAATCTCATATTTTAGGCATATTATATTATATTTAGGTAAGAGTAGTAATATTTAGGTAATTAACTAAATTAGTTATTTAACTGATTAACTAAATTAGTCATTGAACTGAAAGGTTAAAAACCAGAATTAAAGGAACACATAAAAACCCAAGGGCCGGATGGAATCGCTCCCCGCAGTAAAGTTCCACAAGCATTTATCACTTAAAATCCACTGCTGGTGAACCTGATTTCTCCCCCAGTTGGTTGAAACATTGGCCTGTGTGAGAAAAATAATTGCCAAGGCCACCCTTGGAGTGACTCACGTGTATCTGTGGCACAGGGACTCGATGCAGATCAACACCCGGACGTTGTCCCTGGCTCGGAGCTGCACTTTGCTCTTCAGCTCACTGTGGTCTGGGGGAAAAAGAGAAGCATTTTCAGAACATAACAGGCCACCAGGTGGTAGTTTTGGGCTTCAGAGAGGCACCAGTAGCCTCGTGGTTTCTGCACTGGGTTTGGGGGTGGGGGTTGCCGGGTGGGTTCTGGGAGAAGCTGCCAGAAAGTTCCCCCCTGTGTGATGGAGCCAGTGCCAACCAGCTCCAGGGTGGATCCACCACTGGATCAAGTCTGAGCCCATCAGTGATGGTGGTAGAACCTCTGGGATAACATTAAAGGAGTGAAAAAGTGCAACTGGAAGCAAAGAGAGGATCAAGAACATGTGGGAGAAGAGATGCTCTGGGTGCTTAAGGGGAGCAGTGACAAAACACAGCCCAACCTGCCTTCGTGGAGTTCTACATCATCATCATCTTCATTTCTCCCAAAGTCTTTTGTGGGAGCCATGATTCCTGCACATATTTGGTCCCTGAGCTGGTGCTCCCTAAGGAATTTTGGTTGGTGTGGTGGGCAGGGAGCAGCCCTGCTGTGGTACCAGCACCCAGCCTAAGGCATGGCACCAAAGGGACATGGCACCAAAGGGACATGGCACCAAAGGGACATGGCACCAAAGGGACATGGCCAGGTTTCTCCCTGGATGCAGGGGGCTCTCCAGGACTCCTCCCTGTGTGGCAGAGGTTCCTGTGGACAGCACTCACCCACGTGGATGTTGGCTGAGAACTGGTAGATGCCCGAGACGGGCGCCGTGAACCGTCCCGTGGCCAAGTTCAGCCCCGTCCCTCGCAGGAAAGCTCCTTTGGCCAGAGGCTGCAAGAGGACAAAAGCAGAGCCTGAATGAGCCCCCAGAACCCTCAACAAAGAACCAGCCAACCTGCAGGAGAAAAAAACCTGGAAAAATGTCCCTGATCCCCCAGAACACACATTCCAGAGGGGCTCTCTCTCAGCCTCCGGTGCCCACAAAAGGTAAAATTATCAGTGTAAGACACAGAGATGCCCCTTTTCCCACTGCTGAATTCTCCCAACTCAGCTTGACCAGACTGCTTATTCCATCCCTGTTCTTGTCCTTATTCCATCCTGTTCTGGTCCTTATTCCATCCCTGTGCTGGTCCTTATTCCATCCCTCTTCTGGTCCTTATTCCACCCCTCTTCTGGTCCTTATTCCATCCCTGTTCTGGTCCTGGTGGCCTCCACTGATGTTCTGACACACAAAACCTCCCATTATTGGAGTCAAGAGGTCCCCAAAACTTCCCAGATGGGGCCAAGCCCTGTCCCCAGGCTTAACCTGGAATCTCCCACCCCCTCATTTTTCTGGTACCAAGGACAGACAAAACACTCCTGTGGGTCTCCAAGGTTTTCTGCCCACTTTAGGTCAAAATCAGATGGCTTTGAGACTGTTCAAGAGCAAGTCTTGGATTCTCAGAGATTCCATTTTAGTTTCATTTTGTTCCAGGCTTGGTTTCTCCAGGACAGGCAACAGGCAGCTTCTCCTCGTGGCAAGGAGGAGGCCTGGAGTCAAACTCACAGCAGATTATCTGACTCAGACTAAAATAAACCCTGCAAGAAATGTTGATTGTTTGGTTTGGCCTCGTGTGAGCTTGGCTGGGGCTGGGGAGAGGCTGCAGTGGGCCAAGAAAAAGCACATTAGTCAGCCTCTGCTTCCACCACAAGGGCACTCTGGGCACTGGGAACGTGTCCCCCGAGCCCTGAGTGGGGAGATTTGTCCCAGATTGGTTTTATGGGACAGAGGAGCTGCTCAGGTCTGGCTCTGGGAAGGCTCCCCCACACTGCTAAACCCCCAAACCAGCCCCAAACACACGGCTGAGTGACCTCAACATCCAAATCTGACTGTGCCTTCCAACAGGAGATGGCAAAAGGGGCCTGAGACACGGGGAACACATGAACAGCAGTGCTGCTACACCAAAAAAAGGAGTGGAACAGCTTTTTTGCCTCCCCTTTCTTGTTCATCACAGCCAGAAAACCCCAGCTCTGCCAGGGCAGGAGGAATAATTTATGTAGTTTTCTCTTTCAGTGCTCTGGTCTGGTCGACAAGGTGCTGATCAAAGGTTGGATTCAACGACCTTGGAGGTCTTTTCCAGCCTAAATGTGATTTAAAATTCTGAATATCTGGGCCTGGTGGTGTTTGTTTGGTTACTCCGTGGTAAAGGAGTAGAATGATCAACCTGCTTTTATTCAGCCAACTCCAAGAAAGGCTCACAAAAGAGTTAATTCCTAGTTTTTACCTCCAAGATTTAGCTCCAGTCTTAAATTTCACAGAACTAGAAATGTTTTCTGTGAAAATACATCCACTGCTCACGTGTGTGTACAATGGGAAAACAATAATAATGAACTGCAGGACAATTGCATGTCATGCAATGATCTCTAAGTCTCTGTATTCATCACTGGGCACTGATTTGTGCCTTTGTGCACATCCAGACACACAAACCCAGCTCTATTTCCTTGCATGCAATATTTCCTATTTCCTTTTTAGAATTCAGAATTTTTGAATCATTTGAGAAATTAGATTATTAGGCTGATTTTGTGTTTTCTTCTGTGCACACACACACACACAATCAGTAGAACAGCTGAGCTAACAACAAAGAGCCTGGATTGTGTTCTTATGGCATCACTACACCATAATTTTGATAATTCTATTTTTGATTTACCCCACTGAAAGCAGGTCCAAGCCCTGTATGTGCAGAACTGCACAGTTAATTCATTCCTTTCTCGTTCCAGTTATTAGCAGGATCAGCAACATAATTCCAAAACCACTGGCTGAGCATGGAAGGCAATTTTAGGCACCAGCAAATTATAACTGATAAAACATTCCTGTTTCTTCATGCCCTCTGTGGCTTGTTATTCTTCTGCTCACAGAAGTAGACAATGCAGGGTGAGGTTCTCTGGGCAAAATATTCCATTAAACCCTGTGGCAGAGTTCCTGCTGCATTTGCTGCCTCCCAGAGCACACTCATCCAAGCTGCTCCAGGGATTTGTTCCTGAGAAACTCCCTCTTGCACACAGTTCTTCCAGAAAGCAAAATATTTCAGTGTTTCAGACTCTGTACAAAACCAGCTTCTCTTCCTCAGTGATCTCCCATCCCCACACCCCCAGACAACTCCCAGGAGGAAAACAGGAGCCAAGCTCCAAGAACTGGGATGGGAAGTGCCAGCTTTGCTTTTTAGTGGGAAGAAATATATGGAATTATCTGCTTTTAAAGAACAGGGATGCCCCAACCTCCTGATCCAGCACTAGAATTCACCTCCCCAAGGCAGGACCTTCAGCTCGACCTCCAGGCACTGGAGACCATGAAAAGCTTCTGGGGCCACTTTAAATGATCTAATTCCAGTAAAATCCCTGGATAAATCCCACTTCCATGGCCTGCCAGAGGCTCCACTGCTTCAATTCTTGCTGTGAAAAGCTCTTGCAAGAGGCAAAGGTGAGAAAAGCTCGGGTGGGAGATCCAGGAGGAAAAGGTGGAAGGGAAAGGAGTATCCTGTGTTTCATCCCACACAGCAAGGAAATTGGGAGACCCAGAGGGAGGGAATGTTCTTAGAGGGAATTCAGCACTGAAGGATGAGATGCTCAAGGTCAGAGTGACTCAGACTGGAATCAGAGGATACAGGGAGAGGCTGCTCTGAGCACCAGCTCTTCCCACTAACTCCAAATGCTTTGGGGAAGCTCCAAATCCAGGAATTAGAGGAAATCCCTGTTATCTCACTGAGAAGTATCAAACCTTTGGCTTCCTCACACTCAACTGAGAGAATGGTGGGAGTGGAATTATCTCCCTCTCCTCCTTGGACTGTTTCAAGACAATGTTTTCATCCTTGCAGGAGCAGCCACTGCCTCCCTCCCTCCCTCCCTCCCTGCTGAATTCCCCTGGCTCAGAGCACAAGCCAAAACCAGACACTTCTTGTCCCAAGCTGCAGTGAAAGGTTGGCATCCAGAGCCCTGCCAGCCTCCCACACCAGAGCAATTAGAAGGGAGCTGGGCACAGGATCCCAAAGCTTGGGAAGGAGCAGCCCACACACCCATTGCTGAGATGTCTTTATTCACATTTTCCCCTCCTAATTAATGAGGCAGCAGATCCCTCTGGCCCTGCCCACACCTCGAGTGCAATCCTGCCCCTGTGCCAGCACCCACAGCGCTGTCAAACCAAGCTTCCACAAGTGTGTTTGGGAAAGAGCCAGGAAAGCACCCTGTTTGGAGCAAAAACCACTGCCTCCAGTCCTGCAGCTGGGGGAAGTCCAGCAGAAAACTGCTCCAGAAGGGACAGGATTCTCCAGAAACGGGACTCAGAGCAGCTGGGAAGAAAGTCAGCACCTCACTGCACAGGCAGGGTTAGCAAACCCTGCTGATGGTCCCTGTCCATCCTCCTCAAACTCTGCTTCTCACCTCCCAAAAGCAACCACGTCTCTGAAGGCCTCATGCTCTTAGACAGATTCTAGAATGTCTCCTCAATCATCAAATAACTATTTGTTTTCAGCTCTTACTTTGGCTAACATTGACACTGCAAATTCAGGTCCTATCTGCAACTGTTAGTCCAAGTTTTAATCTCAAATTCAACAGCTGGCTTATAACCATGCTTAGGATGGCCCACAATGGTGTGCTTGTCATTGTAACCTGATTGTAATTAAATTATATGGGTGATAGCTATGAATCTTCTAATAAAACATTATGGAAAGAATCTGAGCATCAGGATTGGCCCAGCGAACAAAATTCTGACTTTTATTTGGGTTCTAAAAACTAAAACCAACAGCTTCTGTCTACCTCTAACACCTTTCTACCTATGAATGTTACTCTGGAATTAAATGGGGTGGGCACTGAAAAAAAAGGACAGATCATGGAATCATGGAATATGAGTTGGAAGGGACTCACAAGGAGCATCAGTCCAACCTCTGGCCCTGCACAGACACCCCAACAATCCCCCTGTGTGCTGAGGTGGTGCTATATCCATGTAATCCAAGCCTGAGGGGGGTTTCTGGGATGAGCCTTTCCCCACAGAGCCAGCCCTGGAGCTGCTCCACACCCGGGGTGAGGTTCTGGTTCAGCCTCTGATCCCTCCTCACCGACTGGAAATTCTGAAGTTCCACCAGGGTCTTCTTATCCACGGTGACCTGTCCCTTCAGCTTGCAGTGGAAAGCCTCTTCCACACGTCTGTGGGATGAAACCTCCTCCAGGGAGAGCAGGAGTGGAGGCAGCTGGCTGGGATGGGCTGAGACAGCCAGGGCTGCTCGACGCTCGATGGCTTCTGAGGGGGAAAGAGAAGAAAAAGAACAGGAAAGCAAAGAATCATAGAATCAACCAGGGTGGAAAAGACCTCTGAGATCATCAAGTCCAACCCTTGATCCAATCCCGCTGTGGTTCCCAGCCCATGGCACTGATGCCACATCCAGTCTCATCCTAAAAACCTCCAGGGACGGAGAATCCACCACTTCCCTGGGCAGCCCATTCCAATGGCTGAGCACCCTCTCTGGAAAGAAATTCTTCCCAATATCCAACCTAAACCTCCCCTGGCACAGCTGAAGACCGAGTCCTCTTGTCTTGTTGGGAAAAGAGACCAACCCCCCCCGGCTCCCCCCTCCTGTCAGGGAGTTGTAGGCTTGGTTTCAAGGCCTGGCCTTTGAGGCCACCAGTGAACATTTGCAGAGCCAGCTGTGGATTTGTCCCAAAGCAGCAGCTCCCAAAAAGCACAAAGCTCTCAGAGTCTTTACCTTTTAAGATCTCCTTAAACTCCTGCAGAAGGACTTCCCGGGTCACTTCAGCTCCAGGGGCTCCCGGAGGTCCCTGAGGCCCGGGAGGTCCCGGGGGCCCAACGAGGCCACGCTGAGGGAGCAACCAAAGGAAAACACGGGAATTAGAACCAGGGAATGACAGGGATACACCAAAAATTCTCTGAGCCACAAGGCTCCCTCCAACACCAGTTCAAACACAGATCCTAAACTCCCTTTCCATCCAGCTGGGAATTCCAGCATTTGGAATTTACTCATGTGCTTCAGGTGGGAGGATAAACCTTGCTCAGGTGAACACTGACTGGTTCTTCAGGCACAAGGCTGAGTTTGGTGCCTCTGTGTCTTCTCAAACCACCAAAGCATCCTACAAGGCCTTTAAGCTTCTTATCTGAACTGGAATAGCCCTCTTGCCACACCTGACATTATTAATTGCTCATTATTAATTGCTCAGATATAACAATCACACCCCGGGGGTTTGCTGGCACAGCAGAGCTCTCAGAAAAAAATAGAGCAGTTCAAACACCTCTAAAGCTCAGATACAAACACCTCAGAGCTTTAAACTGACAGGACAAGAGTGGCATCAAGGCTATTTTTGAGGCACATTGTTCCTGTTTTCTCAGGAGCCTGGATGGAAGCACTGCTGCCTATTAGCTCCCTGAGAAATAAAAGGAAAGCATGAATGCATCCAAAATTGTCTTAGCAGTGGATTAAAAGTGCCCACGTGACTAAGAGTCACTCAGCAGATTTGAAATCAACTCCCTGTCCACACCTTGATTAATATATATCCTTTGAGATGCTTGAGCTGGTGGAAGGAAAAAAAAAAATGGCAGAGGACAATTTTTATTTCTGCTGAGCAGAAAAATAAGCAAAAAAAGGCTCAGTCCAAGAACAGCTGCTTGAAACAAAAGCGAGTATGGAATTCCCACATCTTATCTCACAAGGCACTTGTTGGCTCAGACTTCTCCAAAACACTTGGAGGAATTAAACACAAACAAGAGGGAAAGTCAGCGCACCCTGGGGTGGGAAGGCAAAGCTGGAGCACCCAAACCCCCCTGAGAAGGAGCAGCAGGGCAGCAACAACCCACCAGTTTCTTATCCTTCCCTTTGCATCTCCTCTTGGAGGTGTTCCCATCATCCGGGCGGTGCACGAAGGAGATCCAGGTGCGCCGGGGGTCTGTGATCCGGGGGTCTGCAGAATCCAGGACCTGAAAACAAACAACAGCAAAGACTGAAACCACTGTCTGGCCACTCCACAGGGTCAGAGAACATGAGCCAGAGTGTGCCCAGGGGGCCAAGAAGGCCAATGGATCCTGGCCTGGATCAGGAACAGTGTGGCCAACAGGTCCAGTGCATGGAGGGGGTGCTTGAGAAACCAGTAAGAGCCAAGAGCTCTGAGTGTCCCTCAGAGACCTTTCTCAACCTGCTGGGACTCTCAAACCACTCTCATACCACAGCAAACCTGCCCAGATGCCAGAGATTGTTCCCCACTGGCATCTGCCATTTATCAGTTGGCTCAAAGGAGCAATAAAGGGGATTAAAACACACAGAGAGTCTCGAAATGCTGCCTGACTCTCAAATCACAGGCTGTAGAGTGACAAACGTGCACAGAGGAGAAAACACAACCTCCAGTGAAACCCAGAGTCCATGTCTGACCACAGAAAAGATGTTTATTGGCAAATTTAACTCCCTACAGAGTTCTCCCAGACAGAGAACTTCTGCAGAGGAGCTTTGGCACTGCAGTGCCTGGTTTTGGACCCCTGCTGAACCAACGTGGGGCACAAGGGATGTTATTGAGGGGATGAAGCTCCTACAGGTCTGACAGCAGCTCTGCCACAGCTCAGACACCAAAACTCTGCCCTCAGTGCCCTGAGTGACCTTGCAAGGTGCTCCCAGTGCATGTTTGCTCCCTAAATGCCACTTCTCAGAGAACCAGCTTGACTTTTAATCACATTTCTAGTCCCACTTATTAGAACAGACTCACTTCCATCGCATAGCAGGAAAAAAAAGGCACCCTTTAGAATGCAGGTGAGGTCCCAAAAACAGCCACACAGCCTCCTGAGAGCAGCAGGGATTGGACAGAGGGTTGCAAATTTTAACTGGGAATAACAGGACAAGTCCATTTTGAGGGGGAAAAGACCAGAATCTCTGTGTGATCTGCTGTGAAAAACCAGCAGGACGTGAGCAGCTCCCCAGAAATCAGGTGTGAGATGAGCAAGAGCAGTTGTTAAACATCTCAAATTCTGATAAACAACTCCCTCAGTTCCATAAAATCAAGGACACCCTGAGACATTTCCCCATCTTCACTCTGGTTGAATTAGTCATGGTTATCCACACTCCCCACAAATTTGGTCTGTATCAAAACCAAGAGCAAGACAGTTTAGTTCATTATTTCTCTCCCAAAATCAGGCTTGAACAGACTTTTTATTACTGTAACCACATTTCTAGTCAGCCACAAATTGTGTTCAGCCAAGGGCTTCTGGTAGGTTGTTGTAGCTAATTTATTATTTGCTCCTTTTAATTACTTGAAGCTTCAATAGCTTTCTGAAATTCCATCACTGGGAAGTGCTGTACGTGGAGCAGCCCAGAAATCCCAGGGATTGTGGGATCAGACACCTCACCAAAACAATTGCATCTTCCCACGGGTTGCTTGAGTGGAGATTTTTGGGAAGCAGGAGAAAAGAGTCAAAGACACTCCGAAGAGAGTCCTTTGGTGCAGGTTTATCCACTGAAGCGTGTAAACATCAAACCCAGAGGCAAATGTCCACAAAGTTTACAAAATCCTTGGAATAGCACAGGAGGTGCAGTTTATCCTATAACAGCATGGGATATATTTATCAGTTTCGTGGAAAATTAATGGGAAAAGTTGGTTCTTTCCTGCCCCACCTCACCTGAAAAACACAGAGGTGCAGCATCACCACCTGAAGAGGACTTTTATTAATATTTCAGTTTATAAAAGCTCATAAAGGCAGGTTAAAACCTTCCTGCAGGTGCCTTTTTGGGGACTGACAGTGTGTGGGGAAGCTGTAGGAAGGAAAGAAGCAGGAGGAAACAAGTTATGAACAGAAGCACCTGGCTCGGGCAGGGTGTTCCCTCAGTGCTGTGACAGCAGAGAAAATGGAAATAAAATCCCATCCCTCTGCAGTGGCTTGGTTAAATCACAAATCCCTCCACAAGACACTCGTGGCACATCCCAGAAAAAAATAAAAAAATAAAAAAACCCCCTGAAGTACATATAAAAAGAAAAAAAACAGTAAAAAAAAAAAATAAAATCCCATCCCTCTGCAGTGGGTTGGTTAAATCACAAATCCTTCCACAAGACACTTGTGGCACATCCCAGAAAAAAAAAACAAAAAACAACACAACCCTGAAGTATATATAAAAAATAAAAAATAAATAAATAAAAAAAATTAAATCCCATCCTTCTGCAGTGGCTTGGTTAAATCACAAATCCCTCCACAAGACACTCGTGGCACTCCCCAGTTTCTCCAGCCCAGGGGTGATTGACAGTTAAAATGAACGTTCCATGCTCGTGGTATTATTATTTAATTACTATGGCATGCAGCAGCAATCCCAGCAATAAGCAGGCAAGCCTCTGTTTTTTTTGGCAGAGGGAGCCTCCAGCAGCCAAGAGAGACCTCGCAGCCAACTCAGGTATCCGAGGGGATGGGGAACAGCCCTGGAATCCCAGAGGGGATTTGTCCCTCCTTGGGGGGGTGTTTGCAGGGCAAAGACACGCTGCAGGAGTCAGGAGGAATCCTCGGGGTAAATCCAAGGAAATCTTAAAACAGCACCGCCAAAACCCACAGGAGCCTTGCCAGGGATTGTTAAGGACCTTTCAATCAGGTCTTTAAGCACGACTTAAAGTCTGAACACAATGGCACCTTTCACTCCATTCCAAAGGGTGACACTGGAATTAGCCCAGGCTCTCCCTGATTTCCCTCACAATGAGACAATTTGGGCTGGAATTTGGGTGCTGGATCTCTCTGGCTGCAGCTCCCCCGGGACACTCAAGGTTCAGCCACAGGGAAGAAACCACCGGTCAAAATCCACACTCAAAAAGCAGAGTTTGGATCCTGAGAGGTTTCTGAACTGCATCTGGGCTTCCCTGACATTCCAGGATGCTGGGATTCAGTCCAAAAAAAACAACTAGAAACGGACAAAAGTCCTTCCAGGGTCTGGGTGGAGAGAAGAACAAAGTCAACGCCACCTGTGAGCACAGTTTTACACCTAAAACCTGTGTTCTCAGAATGGGTCAGGATGGAGAGAAAGCACAAGAATTTGTAATTTTGTGAGAGGAAAGCATCCTTTCCACCTGTAATTAGTGTATCCAAGAACAGACACCAAACCATTCCAGTCCACACTCCGTGCCTGGTGACTGCCCTGCAGTTCAGCTCAGTTATCTGGGAATTTGTCCCTCTGGGAGGAAATTGTATTTAAGAATCCTTTGTTTCATTTTAATTTAATTTCCAGGCACAAAATGGACTTGAGTAAGCATTTCCATTTTCTCAGTACACACATTTCTGTGTTGTTCTCCCTGATTTACACCAGCCAGGGCATTGCCTGCTTCATTATGAAAATGAAGAATGAATAATTTATTTCAGTAGTGTGTTTTACTTGGACCAGGACACAGAGTGACAGAGCACTCTTATTTCAGCCTGAAAACCCCCTGTGTCAGCTGCTAATAACTTACAGCTCTGCACACTCCTGCTTATTAATGAGATGTAAAACCAAGGTCCTGACCACTTGTGGTTTTTCAAAGATCTCTCAAGAATTCTCCCCCAGAGCAGAAGCGTTAGGTTTGGTATCTCAGCCAAATCCAAAAGGGAATTCCTACCGAAATTCCCACTGTGTTCTGTGATTAAAAAAATCCCACTTCACTCCTGGAGCAACTTCAACCACAAACAGGCTGCAGTGGTCACACCCTTAATGGGTTTAATGACTCTCCTGGAGCAGGTCATTCTGGGTGAGAAAACATCACGTTTCTCACTATTTATTATCATTATTTCACGTTGGCCACAAAGAATTGTTGTGATTCTGTGTGTCCTTTGTTCAGAAAATTCACAAAACCTCACTTATAATATTCCAGAGCAAGACATGAATGTCAGATAGAAAACCAAAGAGAGCAACATCTGTTACAGGTGGGTCACAGCCCAGTTTCTCCCCTGGTTTTAGAATTTGTCAGGCCCCAAAATGCTTTTCTCTCTGTTCCACCTGCAGGCTCAGACTGAAATCTCTGCACAGAGGAGAAATCAATCCAGGCAATGTCATGGAACCAGCTTCTGCTTTCAACTGGGAGCAAAAGACCCCTAAGAAATAACTCAGGGAGATTTAAGTAGTAAAGCAGGTAGAGTGAGGCCTTGGTATCTGCCAGAGCCAGGATTCCAGCTGGAAGGGACATCCAGGGGTTGTCTAGTTCATATCCATACAAATATCTCCAAGGGGGGTCAAGAGGATGGTGCCAAACTCTGTTCAGAGACAGGACAAGGAGCAAAGGCCATAAACTGGAACACGACAAGTTCCACCTCAACAGGAGGCAGAACTGCTTTCCACGAGGGTGGCAGAGCCTGGAACAGCTCTGGAACAGCCCTGGAACAGCCCTGGAACAGCCCTGGAACAGTCAGGGAGGGTTTGGAGTCTCCCTCTCTGGGGACATTCCAAACCCACCTGAACATGTGGTGTGTCCCTGCCTGGGTTGGGCTGGATGAGCTCCAGAGGTCCTTTCCAAGCCAAACCACTCTGAGATTCTGGGATCCAACCCCCCCTCCCTGCTCTAAAGCCCCATGTGCAGGCAGGGGAAGGCAAATCTGGCAAGTGGCAGCTGCAGGTGCTCCACCAAACCCAGTCCCAGGGAGAAGATCCAGGAGATCCAAACCTCTGCATCCATCCCTCATGTTCTGCTCTCTCTCTCTCTCTCTCTCTCTTAGTCCATCTGTGGCAGAGGAGAAAACCCTCATATGCTTGGCAAGCACATCACACTGTCAGCAGCTCAAAGATAAGACTGCAGAAAACCTATTTAAAAAAAAAAACAAAATAAAAAATAAAACCCCAACAGACTCACTATTTCCACGGAAATATCGGGTTTATCAGATTTGAGGCTTCTGCTTCCCTGTTTTAGTAGAGGTTTCACCACATGACTCATGGACTGTGAATGTTAAAGGGGAGCTTTCTCCACTCCTGTTTTAAAAGAATTCCCAAGAGAGTTTTGTCCCAAACTCGTTTGCTTAATTAGAAGGAAAACACATCTACCTTTTCAACAGTAGGAATAAAAATCACTGCTCCCAGCTCATAATTCATTCCCTGCTCTGATAAACCTACCAGTTGGCCACAGAGTCTTCCAAGGTAAACACAGCCTTAATTTTTACTGCTCAAGGCCACAAAAATTCCATCTTTCCTGTTATGTGCTGCAGAGGATTAAATGGGACACTGCTGCTGCTTCATTTTCCTGTGCAGGGCATCCCCTCATGAAACAAAAGTGCTCTCAGAGGTACCTTCAAGGCTCTAAAAGGTCTGTTTTCCACAGAGAACAACCTCACATTAGGTAAGGACATCTTAAGTATTATTTTACTTCTTCCCTTAGTGAATATAAATGGTGATGGTTTGGTGTAAAAATCAACTTTTCCCCCAGAAATGGTGACAATTCTTAAGCATTTACAGCTCGTGTAAAACCCTCCCTGAGCCTGGGCAGGTGCTACATAAATGTAAAATACAAAAATACACCGTTTAAAAGGCAACACTCAACCATCCTGGACTTCAACTCAAAACAGATTCCAAGGAGAAAAGTTCAAACCCTCTGTAAAAATTTGGGGAGTGATTGACATCAAAGGTTTGGGTTGTCCCATCCTTCCTGAACAGAACCTGCCCGAGCTGAACTCGCCAGCTCGTCCTGCAGCCAAACCTTTGCCATGGATATTTTAAAGCAAAGCATTTCGACACACAAACTTGCAGCTTCCAAACAATGTCTGCTTTAATGAATGCCCACGAGCCTCTGTGTGGGTTTTTTTTTCCAGCCCCAGTGGATGTGTGACTGCATCAGAATTAACCAGGACCAGTTCCTGCTTGTTTTTTGCAATCAGGATGGATCCTGCTCGTGGTCCAACACACTTCACATCAAGGCAAATTAACTCCAGAATAAATAGCTGCACCAGGTCTGTCCGTGGCCCCTCTGCAAGGGCAGAGAGTGAAGCAGTTGTGGGGAGAGCACAAGTGATGGATTAAAAGCACCTCGAGAATTCAGCCTGTGCACAACCTGTGCTGGCAGAGCCCTGCGACACACACGCACAAAGAGGAGCTGCAGGAAGGCAGCTCACGGCCCCGAGGACAATTCTGAGGGCACAGCCAGCTTTTCTATGCAGGACTATTCCCCAGACCTGCCCAACCTTAACCAATTACTCTCACAACAGCCCGGAGTGGGATATTTGGGATGTCAGCCCAATTGTTCCCCCTCGGCCATGCCCCAGTTGCTGGCAGGTCTGTTCCCCCATTGCTATAGTGACTGCCAGCCCTAATGCTGCTGATCAAAGTCGTGCTGGAGAGGTCACTCTGTCCTGACAAGGGACATTTTTGTGTGAGCAGGGGAGGGGGAGAGAGCCTGTGGCATAGGGGAGACTCCCTTCCTGCTCACTCTTCCAGTCTCCCTTCACTTCATCCTGCTCCTGCTCCTAAAACCTGCTCTTAATTCTCTGAGCCCCTCTGCTATTCCCAAGCATTCTTCCCGAGCATTCTATGCAAATATTCACCCTAAAGGATTCTGGGGGCTCTGAGCAACTGAGTGGAAGTTTTCTGGGTGATTCTCCCAAACATTTAACACTTAACCTTGCCAAATTCACTCACCAGCCACAGAGGTACCACACACACACACACACACACAGGGGCTTCACTTCCCATTTACACACAACTAAAAACCATCCTGAACCCTTTCCTAGAGCCACAACCACCCTAAACACATCACCTGACCACACCCAAAACCTTCTCAACTCTGATTTTTGGCCACATTCTCCTGCACACAGAAAGCTCTGGCACTCTGAGATGTTTATAACGTCGTATTTGCTTAAGAAGGGTTTGAAATAACATTTCAGAGAGTTAAGACTGTGCCTGCAAGAGACATATTAAAATCCCAGCATCATTCCTGTGAAAGCCCAACTTGCTTTAATTTTAAGTTCATGACACTGTTCATACACAGAACTTTAAAACATCTTTACCCTTAATCAGCTACAAGGGGACTGGAACTTCAGTCCTGTGTGTTCCAAAGCAACCATAAATTGTAGTATTCCAGCATTTGCTCCAGTAAAGCCAGAAAATCAGTCATGCAAAGGCAAAAGAGGGAACATTTCTCTCCTTAAAATCAAGCAGCATTTTAGCAAGATTGCCTGAAATCATTGGAAAAAGGAAGCAGCACCACTCTGCTGGCAGGAATAAGCTCTGCCAAGACACAAACACCCACCTTGGGATGCCCGTGCAGCTCCTCACTGTTGGACAGGGTGGTGTTGAAGGGCTCTGTGTACTGATTGGGTTCTTTCTTCACCTTCCTCTCTCTCTTTGCTGCTGAAACCCTGAAGAGGCAAAACTGCTGACACAGTAAAGTTGCCACAAACACCCAGGTGCACCCCTTCATTTTGGAAAGGGAGGGAGGGGCCAAGTCCAAGCACAAAAAAAAAAAAACCTTCACCACCAATAAAGGAACAGAGTCCTCTGTCCAAAAATAAAAAATAACAGGGTCAGAAGTGCTAAAGAAGATCCTCTGGGCTGTGCAATGTCAGATGGGCAGCGAGATGGATGTGCTGGTTGCTGAGAGGTCTCTGCTCAAGCAGGACACATGGAAATGGTACAGATCAACTTGTTTAAAATCTGGATTCACTCGGAGAAGGAGGTAAGTCCATTCAGCCTCTGGGAGCTTTACATAAATACAAGAGGCCCTGAAAAGTCCTGCCACCCACCTTGAAGTGTTGCTCTCCCCTCTACCCCCCTCAAATAAGTCTTCAGACTCGTTTTAAATGCACTCAACTATGAGAAGTCAAACTGCTCTGGGCAACAGTTGCTCAGGCCAGAGCTGACAACACGAACTCATCAGGGGGGCTCTGGTTGTTCCTCTTCACCAGGAGGGTTCACTTGCTGTCATTTGAAGCCTCCTGTTGGGTTCAGAGCAGGTTTGGATGCGTTCCATCCGTTCCCTCTGGGCTGATCCTTCCCCCTTTCCTCAGTGACAAGTCCTCATCCTTTTCTTCCAGGATGTTGGGGAACTGTAATCCAAGGTTGCTACAGCCAGTGCTCCTCTGGAGGGGCTGGAAGCATCACAGCCTTGTCGGGGGATGAGAGACTTCTCACACCATTAAACTTAAAACGAGGAGAAACAAAGAATCTGAGGGCGTCCCCAGCTCCACCGGGAACAGGGAAAGTTTTCCCAAGTGTGGTTTGTCTCCCTCTTTAGCTGAGGGAGCTTTCCCTTTTCTCTGAGGATGAGCAGCAGCTGTCAGGGTGCAGAACCTCGTGGCTTTTGCATCCTCATCTCCCCTCACACCGGGCAGGATTTCAGGTACCTCTCAGTGTCTGATTTCTCCTGCTGCTCCTTTCCCCAGCTGCACGTTGGCAAAACCCTCCTCAGCTCCTGCCTTACCTCGGCAGAGAAGTCCTTCTTTCCCGAAGGAGTTTCCATCAACTTCAAGAAAAGCAAAAGAAAAAAGAAAAGGGAAAAAAAAAAAAAAAAAGAGGAGGGATCACATTCTAATGAGCTGTCAAGCCTATTCTCTTCACATTCCTATTAGACTCCCTGATAAGTGGAGCTGGCCCGTGTGCCAGGCAGATTTAAATCAGTGCCCATTCCCTGCTCCCTCCCCTCAGCCCTGCTCTGTCCCTCCCCTTCATTATCTCGGAGAAATCACCATTTTTCTGGGAAGTTTGTAAAGCTGCACGGGGGGAACGGGTGGTAGAGCTAAAAAATACGTGGCTTGGAATAAGCACTCGGCATCACACACGAGGATAATCAGAATCCTGCCTGATTTCCCAGGCTCTTCCCTATTTCCCTGCAGTTCCCATTAGAGGGGGGGCTGATTTCTTTACAGGGTGGGCTGTTGGTTAAAAATCCCAGAAACCCAGAGGTCACCCGTGTCCTACCAGCACTTCAGGAGGGGATCTTGATGTACTTGGACACTGCAAATCTCTACCAGTTCCCCACCACCCAGAACAAATATTCCTGTTCTTCCCACAAAGATTTTCCAGCTGCAAAGATTTCCCTGAGTCCAGGAATGATAAAAGGTTGAAGATCACGTGGTTTGAAGTCCTTTATGCAGCCAGAAAATGAGAGATTTGCTTTATTTTGGCAATTCCTTCACCAGAACTTCTGTAATCCAACTGTCAGCACAGATCTTCCTTGGATTTTGCAGCCAGGGTGGATCAGGAGCAAAGCTCAGGGAAACTGAGGCACAAACACATTTGTTTGAGCTGCTTTATTTTGGGAATTCCTTCACCAGAACTTCTGTAATCCAACTGTCAGCACGGATCTTCCTTGGGTGGATCAGAGCTCAGGGAAACTGAGGCACAAACAACCTGTGCTGCAAAAAAATCAAGAGGTGGAATAAAGATTGGTGGATCAGAAGCAAAGTTCTATTAATATGGCTCGGGGAAACTGAGGCACAAACCACCTGAGCTGCAAAAATCAACAAGCAGAGCACGGATTTTTAAATTTTTTACAGCATCTTCGGGGAGAAATGGAGTTTAGGAAAGAGAACAAAGTAAGAAGGGCACTTACCCAGCAGCTCAAGAGTTAACAGCACATCACCCCTCCCCCAGCCAGCTCACATTCCATCAAAACTACGTGGCAGACTTTATTTGTTAATAATATTTAACTTTCTTTGGCGCCTTCTCATACTTAAGCCTCTCTTTTTTTTTCAGGTTAGTTGTAGACAAGCCATGAATTTGTAAAAGTGCACTTGATGACACATTAATAGGACAATCTGTCATAGCCCAGCTAAACAGCCTGACAGCTCCACACACCACGGCAGGCAGGGACAGCCAGGGCTGGGCTGGGCTTGGCTGGGCTGGGCTTGGCTGGGCTGGGCTCGGCTGAGCTCTGCCTAAAGCCCCTTCCCCAGCCTGGCAGCAGCTCCTGGGACTGGGGGGAAATCAATCCCAGCTAATCCAAGGAGAAGGCGTTGCTGGTTTGGGCTGTAAACTTGGGACAGTGGTGGGACAGTGACAGGGTGGCACACACAGGGGTGGCTCTGGGCAGCCAGGAGGCTCTGAGGGTCTTGGGGACATCGTGGTGGCATCGTGGTGACACCCACAGGGAGTCCAGGGGAACCCACACAGAGCTCTGAGAAGGTGGTGACACAGGGACAGTGATATGGTGGCACCTGGAGAGGTATCTCTGGGCAGCCAGGAGGGTCTGAGGGTCTTAGGGACATTGGTGACATCGTGATGACATCATGGTGGCACCTGCAGGGAGCCTCAGGGGACCTACACAGAGCTCTGAGGAAGTGGTGACACGGGGACAGTGACATGGTGGCACCTGGAGAGGTATCTCTGGGCAGCCAGGAGGCTCTGAGGGTCTTAGGGACATTGGTGATATCGTGGTGGCACCCACAGGGACCCTCAGCAGAGCCACACAGAGCCCTGGGGATGTGGTGACAATGTGACAGTGACATGACAGCGACCTGGTGGCAGCCAGGAGGGTCTGGGGACACTGGGGACATCGTGGTGACATCACAGGGACACCCACAGGAAGCCCTGTCTGAGCTCCATAGAGCCCTGAGAACATGGGGACATGGGGACAGTGATGTGACAGTGCCATGGTGGCATGTCCAGGTGCAGCCAGGAGGGTCTGAGGGCCTTGGGGACTGTGTTATAAACTTCCCAAAACATCCTTTTCCCACCTTTGGGCTCAAACAAGTGCCAGCACAGCTGGTGCCTCCCCTGCAATCCCAAATTTCCAGCTGCCCACCTTGGAGTTCCCATCCCAGCTGCAGCAGTCCCCAGGTCTCGCCGCTGCATCCGCAACGTCCAACCCCTGTTTGCAGGAAAAAGAAAAAGAAAGGAAAATTAAGGATATAAAGTCTGAGGTGGCACTTTCACAGCACAGCAGCTCAAAGATCTTGGAATAATGGGAAGGAACTCTCCAGCTCCCTGACAGGAGGTTGTAGCCAGGTGGGATCGGGCCCTTCTCCCAGGTGACAAGTGAGGGGATGAGAGGAAATGGCCTCAAGGGGAGGTTTAGATGGATATCAGGGGAAACCATCCCTGGAAATGTTCAGGAACCTCGTGGATGTGGCCCGTGGGAACGTGGATTAGTGGTGACCACAGTGGTGCTGCTGGACTTGATGGTCTTAAAGGTCTTTTCCAACCTTAATGATTCCATGGAAAGCAAACAGTTTCTCCCTGGAGCTCAGCACCACTGAGGCACTACCAGGGATGGTTGAGAACAGAACAACATCAATCCCGCGTGAGGAAAGTTTGGAAGCAGGGAAAACGTTGTAAGAAGCCACGTTAAGGATTCCAAACTGTGCAAGAACCCAAAGGCAGTGTTTGCAAACCCTCTAAGTGTGAACAGAGCCAGGGAGGGAACCGAAGAGTCGGGCAAGGAACTTCTGATCCCATCTTTCAATCTCCACTTCTGTGATTTTACTCAAGATAGGCCTCACCTGACTGTGCCAGGAATAATATCCAAAGGGCAAAAGGGCAAAAGCTGGGATTCCCCCACTTGTCTGTTGTAGATATATGGAACAACTCCTAAGCCTTGGCACAGAGATGGGGATTTTTGAAGCCAGTACAGTGGCTGACACACCCCCCCCATTCCTGCTTCATCCCAGGGCTGGAGCAGGGAAGGAATCCTGCCCTGGAAGGGTTGGGAGGCCCTGGCACGGGTTGCCCAGAGAAGCTGTGGCTGCCCCATCCCTGGGAGTGTCCAAGACCAGGTTGGAGCAACCTGGGATAGTGGAAGGTGTCCCTGGGTGGAACTGGGTGATCTTTAAGGTCCTTCCCACCCAAACCATTCTGGGATTCTGTGACAATCCAACATAAGCTCAAGCTGTTGGTTGATGTACACAGGCCCCAAGGCTGCCAGAGCTCCAGGAGGGTTTGGACAACACCCTCAGGGACAGGGTGGGATTGTTGAGGTGTCCTGGGCAGGGCCAGGGGTTGAACTCATGATCCTTATGGGTCCCTTCCAGCTCAGGATATTCCATGATTCCTGAAGCTGTTCGAACAAACCTGAACACACCAACGAACAAAAGAGCAGCTTTGGGAAGACTCACCCGGGGTTTATGCTCACTCCGGTGGGAGCTGCAGTGCCCGCATCCCACATTCCAGAGCCTCTCCGTGCTCGCATTCCCGGCCCGCTGGATCCCGACCCGCGCGGGATCGCTTCGCCATCTGCTGGCAAATCCATGGAAACGCCGCCACACTTGGGAAAACCGCAAAAAAAACCCCACTCGCTGCTCCTCCAAGGGTTTCTCTCACAGCGGCTCCTCGGAGTGACCAGGTGGGAAATAACCTGTTGGGGCAAAGCTTTTCCCGCTGGTAAAAGTTCCCAATAAACCCTCATGAACCGTCCCCTTCCTTGCCCAGAAAACCTCTTCAATGACATGCTTTGAGTTCCTTCTCCAGAGACTCCCTTCCATGCAATTTTTCCACTGCAAACATGATTTTCCTGCTTTCCTTTTGCAAAGGAAGCATCAGCTTGTTCACTGTTTGCCTCCCCGAGTTACAAAATAAGCCACTAACAGCCCA